TTATGCTGTAGATGTTAGAAGGTAAAAGATGAAATTTTTCCGAACAAGTGGATTGGTTGACGTGGACCTATTGAATGGCCAGCGAGGTCACCAGATTTCAATCCTTTGGATTATTTTATGTGGGACCATCTGAAGAGTGTTATGTATCAAATGATACCCAGCAAATATTCAAGAATTACAACAGAAAATTCGGACAGCAATATACAATATTTTTCAAGACAATAAACAAGGTTCAACAAGAATTTTTACAACGTTTGGGTTACTGTAAAATACAGCAAGGGCTGCAGTTCAAACATTTATAAAGTCATGTATTTCATCATATTCTGTCCGCTAGACAAGTATTTTTGATAATATTGTGAATTTAACTAGCGCGTTACTTTATGAACACGCACAAAACTATTGTATTTTTGTCCACCCTGTACCAATTTGAATCAACATGTGATACATTTTTGGAATCAGCTCAGCTAGTGTAATCTGAAAATAGAGACAAAATGGGGTGTTCCAAATAAAAAAAATGACGGTGACGTCATTACTCGAAAGTAATTCACTCTGTATATTAGAATATTATTTTAAAATACGGTAAAATAAAATCAAAAATCGACCTGTTTCAGGATTATTTCTCAAAATGTTCTGTTTAGCTAAAAAAGAATTTGTTCCATACTTCACGGACACAGTGTATAATTCTTTGAAGATTTTGTGGGTTTAAGTGTATTTTAGTACGATGTAGAAAAACGGACACGAAAGGTGTAACAAAATGACGTATTGGGCACAAATTGTTTAATAATAAAATGACATCTCAGCCGTCCAACTATAAAAGACACTTTTCTTCTTTCTAACATTTATCGAAAGAGTCTTTCGATAAATGTTTTTTTTTTGGCTTTTTAATATTTTCTTTACTTGGTCCAGTAATATTTTTTTTAGTGATTATTTAGTGGTAGAATTTCCTCATTTTCTTCAACAATTTCTACTTCATTATTCTCAACAATTTCTAATGCACTATTCTCCCATGGACGCCACATGTTTATTTAGGTACTTAATATTTTTCTGACAGCGAAATCGTCACTAATAAATGCGTGCTCCCTTTACAGAGTTTAAACTAAAAATTATATGTAACAATAAAACACTGCAAACTTTGTTTTCAAACTTCCACAAAATTTATTATCAATCTTATCACTACAGCTGTTTCGGCTGATTGCTTTTCTCAAGTGATCTATTTTTGGCTTAGGTTTACAAATTTATAGTCTCTAATAAAATAAATTCTGTCTCCGGCTTCTTCACAATATGTAGCTTCGCCACATAAATTTTAAAGTGTTTGTTTGTCTTAGTGTAGTGTATTTTGTATTGTTATGTCCAGTTTTAAATTTATGACATTCTACTATGTCGGATAGTCCACAATTGACGAAATGCCCCTGAAGATGATCTATTGATTGAAAGTACTTGGGCAAGATTAAATTAATCACCGTGTTCGATAGTTGCCTTGTATACCCTCAAAGTCTAATAAAATAGGTTGAGGAGGGGAGAACTGATTGTCTCAAGTTGGTCATTCAGAATTATATCTGTGTTTTTTAATTTGTTGATTTCCATAGATTCTAACAAAGATAGCTTAAGGCCTTTATTTTGAATGTGAAGAATTTTAAATTTGTCATTAAAAGAATGATTATGATCTAGTTTTTGGGCAGTCGCCACATTGAAGTTTGTACACACCACTATTTAAGTGTTTTTTATTTTGACTCTTGTTATTTTTAATATTTTTGCCTAAGTTGTTATTTGTTCGGAAAGCTGGTGTTGGTAAAAAAGAAAGGAATAACACCAGCTTTCCGAACAAATAACAACCTAGGCAAATATATTAAAATTAACAAGAGCCAAAATAAAAAAACACTTAAATAGTGGTGTGTACAAACTTCAATGTGGCGACTGCCCAAAAACTTATGTCGGTCAAACTGGTAGAAACTTTGCTAAAAGAATTGCAGAACATAAAATGGCTTTCAAGAATAGAAAAGCAGATTCGACATACGCACTTCACCTTCTAGATCATAATCATTCTTTAAATGACAAATTTAAAATTCTTCACATTCAAAATAAAGGCCTTAAGCTATCTTTGTTAGAATCTATGGAAATCAACAAATTAAAAAACCCAGATATAATTCTGAATGACCAACTTGAGACAAACAGTTCTCCCTCCTCAACCTATTTCGTTAGAGACTATACATTTGTAAACCCAAGCCAACAATAGATCACTTGAGAAAGGCAATCAGCCGAAACAGCTGTAGTGATAAGATTTAAAATAAATTTTGTTTGTAAAACAAAGTTTTCAGTGTTTTATTGTTACATAAAATGAATTTCCATCAAGTAACGGTCGAATCCATCAATTAAAAATAATTATATTATATGTATAACAATACTGAAAATTACATAAGTCTTGTTATCGGCGTTCAGAATTTCGTGGAGATTTACAAACCTTGGTCAGCCAGCACAGCAGGGCTGTGACAAGAACCCGACAATCGAGTAAGAGGAGTCATAAACTCATAAACTTTTATTGATAGGTATAAAAAGGGGCTTCCATCGGCAAAATTTAGCAGTAGCGTAAATAAAAGCTTCATTGTGATTAATGATAAAAACATTATTTTGATTAAATAGACCTAACAGGTAAAATGTGTTGCCGGATAAGGGTCTAGTTTATGTTCCTTTTAATTTCATTTTATATATTCTAATTTTTTTATATAAGCTATATATATATATAAGCTATATATACAATATCAACAATATTGTACGATCAAACACATTGTAATACTGTATATATCACACAATAAATCAGTGTATCTACGTAATCTGAGTATTATTTTTTATCGCAGTATTTGTTATACACCACAATATAATTCAAAATTCATATCAGGCTCCATTTCTACTACCTGAAAACGAACAGATACAGCGATTACATAATTACGGCAGAGCAGCAGAGGAAACGCCATAAAACCGAAATACAAATGGAAATCATCATGTAATGTCCAATTTGTAGAATGATAACAATTTTCCGGCTTCAGCTTCGTGCTCTAACTTTGTATCTGTTAAGCTAGTCATCAGTCACAGTCGACCTCATTTGCAAAACATATTAATTATTCTTAGTTTTTGCTACTATCGGGATCTTCTAGGAAATATGTGATATTTTTTGAGTTGTACAATTTATAAAATCTGTATTTTTGTTTGGTTTCTAATATTTCATTGCCATCGCTTAGATAGCAGCAAAGATTTTATGTTTATCGTTACAATTTAAATTGATATTTATTAAGGTCTATTACATTTAACAGAAAATTTTCTTATGTCAACTTACGTCACTATTTTCTTAAGCCATAATTGCGCCATACTATTACTATTATCGATTTGTTAAATAGCAAAATTACATGTAATATGATTTTCTACTAGCTTTTTTTATTTTTAATTTATTCGATTTTACACTGACATGCAAAAAAAAACGTAATGTAGAATATTTTGGTCAAATTCAAAGTATGTATTTCATTTTTTTTTTATTTTTAGCCCTATTTTGATGATTTTTTTAGCATACTGTGTATAAATTTATAAATTTTAGTTTAATATAGTTAGTATTTTGATTAATATTTATATTTGGTTGGAAATCCTCATGGCTAGGCGGACTCTATTAACTGCGTTCTAAAAAGTTCTGCCTTACTGCATTCAAACCATTCCCTTAAGTTCTTAAGGCAGGATATTCTTCGTCTTCCCAGATTTCGCTTTCCTCGGATTTTGCCTTGCATAATAAGTTGTAATAATACGTATTTTTGCCCTCTCATCACATGTCCTAAGCACTCAAGTTTTCGTCTTTTGATAGTTTCATATTAATTTTGCCTCATTTCCTATCCTTCTAGTTACTTCCACGTTTGACATTCTTTCAATCCATAAGTATTTATAGTTTTTAACACTTTCGATTGCAGTATCTTCAATAGTCAATTGGACATTTGCATGTGCAGATTTAGTCATGATCATGCATTTAGTTTTCTTTAAATTCATCTTCAGTACGTACTCATGACAGCGTTCATTAAGGCGTTGCATTACGTTCTGTAAATCATTGTTGTTATCCGTCATTATTACTGTATCGTCTGCAAAACGTAAGTTATTCAAAACTTCTCCATTGATAGATATACACTCTATTGAATCTGAGAGCGCTTCTTGAAATACCGCTTCACTGTAGACATTGAAAAGTAATGGAGACAGCACACAACCCTGGCGCACTTATCTCTGTATTTTGATATTTTGGGTGTACAGGTTGTCAACTCTTACCTCGGCAGTTTCATTCTAATATAAATTAGATATAATTTTTATATCACGATTGTCAATATTTTTACTTTTTAATATATCTACAAGCCTTTTATGATTTTAATAAATGCCTTTTTAAAGTCTACAAAACATAAGTACATGTACTAATTCATGTCCATGCATCTCTGCGCCAGCACATTCAAGCCAAACAAAGCATATCTTGTACTAATACCATTTCTAAAGCCAAATTGTATGTCAAAGGTCGATTGCAGCCATTGTCTGGGATTGTGGCAGTCTGATATATTTGATTAAAGAGTTCAACCATTATATTAATAACATCTTCATCAATGAGTTTTAATAATTCGATAGGCACATCATCTGGTCCAGTAACTTTACCCTCTTTTGTGTTTTTGATGGCATAGATGACTTCTTCTCTTAATATTGGTGGTCCGGTATTCTCGGTGATTTATAATGACTTCTTCTCTTTCATCATTAAATAGTTGTTGGATGTAATTGGTCCAGTGACATAATCTCTCTTTCATATCAGTAATAATATCCCCTTTATCATTTTTAAGGATATTCGTTCTTGTACGTTTTCTAGAACCTGTAATTTCTTTGATTTTTTTGTGTAAATTAAAGCTATCATGCTTTTTATCCAGATCTTCCATTTCCTTGCATCTGTCGGAGAGATTCCACCTCTCTTTTGGCTCTCGAATTTTCTTTCTGATGTTTCTCTAAATTTCTTTGTATTTATCCAGGTCTTTTGCTTTATGTTTTCTTCGATCTTTCATAAGTTCAAGAAGTTCTACTGTCATCCAGGGTTTTGTTTTTTCTCTAAGTGGTTTGAGGGTTTTTTTTCCAACTGACACAAGAGCATGTTGAATTTTTCCCCATTTTTGGTCAATGGTTAAAATTTCCGCATTATTTTCTATGACTTTCCTTAAGTTCTCGTTTATTTTAAATTTCGTTTTTGCATATGTGTTGTCTTGTTTGGGACGTCTTGTATCCATGATTTTCTTGGTGCTAGGTCTGTTGACCTTCTTTAGTTTCACTCTCATCGACAAAACAACCATGTTGTGATAGGAGGATGTGTCCGCTTCTGGATAAGCTATAAATAATATTATAGAATTTCTATATCTTCTGTTGACGATATTATAATCTATGTGATTTCTGACTATTTTGTTGATATTGTCAGCTGGTGACCTCTATGTATATAGTACTTATTGACTTACTGTACGGGGTTAATAAAAACGTGGTTTTATTATCCAAACTTTGAAACATCCTGTGGAATAATTCTACTTATTTTAAGTTACCTTCTTTAAACACGAACGTGCCAAAGAAACTATATTTTTAGTTCACGTACTACATACTAGCATCGTCTCACGGGGCAGCATCCTATCGCTTTGGTAAGTAGATTCGAACTGCTTGAAAAACAAGCAACAGCAGTAACTTAAAATTTATAAAAAAAAACTCGATTTTGACAAAAATGACGGTTACTGTGTTTTGCAATGGACCCGAATGGACTGGCTATCAGCAGATGCTAAATCAAATAACTTTGTCTAATAATACAGCTGTACAGCAATGATCCTTTTAATTACAAATGTAAATTAAATGATTTTTTACTAGATTATAGCGGTTTATGTCAGTCGACTGCAATTATATGTAGCGACAAGAGTTGCAGCAACACAATAAAATCCAACTAGTAAAAGCAGTATGCAAAACGCACATAAACTCGTTCTTTGAAATAGGAAAATTGTCGTAATTAAATTCTAACAAGCTGCATTGAAACATAAAAGATCAAAATCAAAATTTGTGAAGCAAAGCTAACGTGCGGTTACATGTAGAAAGGAAATTCTATCAGATTATCTCTCGTAACGAGAACAGATACAATTCTAATTACCATAATTCTTGTGAGTACTTGCTGTTATAAAGCAGGATATTAGATCGCTTCGGTATGTTTTGCTTTGCTAATCCTGCAACGACCAATTTAGCGTTAATCCCTTGAAACCCATGTACAGGAAATGGGTCACTTCATCAAATCGTCACTTATTAATGAGTTTATTACGTATTTAGCAATAAAACTAACTGCAGGTTCAAGATAATCGATTGATGGTACATGAATATGTTTATAGACAATATAACGTGTGATAATTATATATAGTTTATATGTCAAATTATTTAGACATATCTGGTTTACATAAATTGTGCCTTTTATTTCAATTAAGTAATAAACATCTTATTTGATCTAGATTATAAAAGGGAC